CTTCAAAGTACAAAACTTGCTATCAGAAAAGTATACTCATTCCTTTCAAGAACTAAGTGACGATACCAAAATGGTTCAAAATATCACTCTTCCTTTTAGAGTCTCAGAAAATCCTCACTGACACCTCAGGTTGTGAAGGTCAAGGATACACTTCTATGGACTTCTGTGCAGGTCCATAATCTTGCTAGATTCTTGTCTAACCCTCTCTAGTCTAACCTCTCCAGTGTCTCTGCAAGTCTGCTTCACACACACAGATCTTTAAACTTTTTATGATGTCCATGGGACAGAATGAGATATGGTCACAGGAAAAAAAGGCATTATGATTTAATTAGAAAGTATATTTCAGAGGTTCTGTTGCCTCAAAGTTTTTTTTTTCCCCCACCACTCATTTTTGTCCCATGGATAATAGCCACTCTCAGTTTGCACTTTTTTTTTTTTTTAACTGAAGCATTTCACTCCTGTCTATGTATTTTGGGGTAATATTTAATGTCTCATCTACGAAATTGTCTCATCTAAGACATTAAGCAAAAATTTAATGCAAAGCAGAATCTCCAAGAAGGAATTTGTTCCAAAACATCTTTGATTTACAATGAATTTTTGCACACAAAAGAAAATGAATACATGGAATTTGCACACTGGAGCATCTTTAGAAGCCTGTTCAATTATTTAGACTAAGGTTTCACTGTACCTAATCAGTGGAAACTCTGAACACAGAGGTTTTGTTTTAGAGTCCTTGCCAGCACATGAAGGGTTTTCACAGCTCTTTTTCACTTCATGTAGAATTGCAAACTGCTACACAACACTCATCCACTCCCCCAACTCTTCTTCCTACCACCTTGGCTTAAACAATCCTGAAATAATTTTTCTTTCTAAAATCTTTTGACCACTTCTAAAGAGAGTACAGAAAAAACTTTGTTTAGAAGAACAATAATGCTCTTTATGATAGTTCTGGATGGATTTCCATTTACTGCAGACACAGTTAAGCATCTCTTGGGCTTCAGCACAAACACGTGAGAAACACACCTGATTGCTGTGAAATCTGGAGACTTGTGAAAGGAAGTGTAATCAGGGTATAAGCTTTCCCCTCTGTTCTAGTTTTATGCACTTTTTCTATTAGTATTTTAATTTTATTTGCCTGTTTCAATCAACAAGCTAAATTAAAAAGGTTCCACAAAAAAAAAAAAACGTAATATGCTCAATCTTTAAAGAGCAATGCTTGGCCAACTCAGATGAAATAAAGGAAGTGTTATTACATAGTTCTAAAAAGAGTGTCTTTTTAACTTTCATTACTGCTAAAAGCAAGAGCAATACTAACAAAATACCTGCATCAAAAGGGGAAAAAAAGAAAAGCAAAGCAAACCAGACCACTCTCTTGGATTGACACCCACATAGCCAAACAGGTACTGCACCAAAATCCCAAACCACCCAAAGTCACTTTTAAATCAGGTCAGGCTTTAGACAGCTTCTTGGAGTTTCATCTTTGCTTGCATAAAAGAGGGTTAAGTCTGTTCTTTTCAAAGATCTTTGGCATGATCTTTGATGACAAATGACATGCTACCATATGCCAAAAAAGAAGGGGAATACAGTCACCCCCAGCTTCAACTTTAACTGGAGCTGCTTTGTTCTGAGTGCCCTGAATAATTAATAACTACTTTGGCAATCAGTCATGCATTCCTTAATGGCACCTCAGGCATCAAGTATCCCATTCACCCGCTTCCCAACTAACAATGGACTTTATTACATCAAGTTTTCTCTGCCAAACTTGTAACTGACATAGTTTAAACTAAACAAGTCACTAGGAAGACTGAGGCTCAAATGTATATTATAAGAGTTTTTAAGATTTTCCTCAATTTCATGTGGCCACTATACGGGACAAGTGAGAAGAAGAGGAAAAGAAATGAAATATGGATTGTTTTTGCAATAAAGTTCTAGGAGGGTTTTGGTGGCACAGTGCTGCCAAAATCATGACGTTTAATAAATGGATAGCTGGTCAAAACTGAGAACCATCTCTAGGCAGCCCTTACTGAATAAAACAGCTCACCAGTAAGCACAGAGTAAGTGACAGGGCAGAGCATGAAAGAGTGACTGAGAATAACAGCTGTGCTGAAAGGAGCATAATAATTTTGGAATAACACAAACTATGTTTGCTTAATAGGAATAAGCTTTTTCAACACTTGCTTCCACTTCATGGTATCGCAGACAAATTGACTTATAACTATAAAATAGAGGAAAGAAAGTGGGAGTAAGACCAGAATTACAGAAAGTTCCAGGGTACTCAACTTAAAATGGAAGAAATTCAAATTATTAAAATCTAATTAGTTAGAATATGATGACAAGGACTGTGTTTTTTTGGGGAACATTCTGTTTGCATATAGTATATGCACTGCTTTTAAGCAGTGTCTTCCAATCCCGCATCAAACCTTTCTAGAGAATGATGTTGGATTCACTAACATTGGAATGGCTGTGAGTCCCTTCTTTAGAGTGACTAAATCCTAGAAATAAAGTAATCAGATCAATAGCCATTCTCCTACAACTTATCATGTGAGAAATTGGTTTGAAATATATAAAGTAAAAAAAAAAACCAAACAAAAAATGTATATATATATATATATATACACACACGATAAATTACAGCAGATCTAAACAAAGTCACTCCTCTTGCTCTTTAAAAGACCTGAAAATGTGTCCGGTGCCCCTCACTGTGTGTGGCCTTCAAATACAGAAACAACCTTGCACTGTTTTATTTCAGTTTTGCTTCATTTCTCCCCAAACAATCTCTCACTTCTAGTCTACCAGGCATCTCCCCCTCCCCACTACTTGTGGAAAAAAAAAAGAGGAAAAGAAATTAACTGTTTAGGATCAATTCATTGAACTGAATCTCTTAGTGAATCAGTTATGATTTTGCAAGAATTATTTAAAATTTAAGCTAATTTCTATAGCTGACCTCTTTTTTGTGGGGATGTGGGAGGGGGGCTGTAAATTTTATCTTCTCTTGAAAAGCTGGATAAGATAACTTTATAAAAGCAAGCTACTTTTTTTGGCATTGGTTTTCAATTGCTTTAGGTACAAGAAGGTGGTTTAATCTTGGAAGTAAACAATATCCATTTAATTTACAATCTGCTGTCTGAAATGTGTAATTGTATTCTGCATGTCTGAAATGTGTAATTGTATTTTGCATTCTGCAAAAACCAATATTTTTTGTTGAAAAAGATCACAGCTCCTTTAGTGGCAGATTTAGAAATTAACTGATAAGAAGTTGTTCTACTGCACATTTTGGGACTCATTCCAAATTCTTATGACAGCAAGTGAGCTGCTCTTGTTCCTTGCATGTGTTAGGTGTGACTAGTTTGAACACTAAACCATTGTTTTGTGAGTAATTTAAATTTTCTAACTGTCTTCCCCATCAAATATGAAGGAACAAACTCAGTCCATTTTTACAGCATGACACAAAAATAATTATACATATACTCCTATTTTCAGGTGCCTTTGTTTAATCAGTTCCACAGGAATGGGATCACACATAAGTTAGATGCAAACATAGCAGGTAGGGTGTAATACTAGAGCTGTGACAACGGAATTTGGCACCAGCCCCACAAATAGATGTATTTGTTGATTTTCTTTTACCATTTTCTAAAAGTAAACACACTTATTACATTCTGCCCTCAGGTGTACTGATGTTTAAACCTGGCCTTATTTCAAGTTTGGAGACTGACATTTTATTTAATTTTAAAGTTTACCACTATTGAGTCATAACATTCTACTAACAAAAGTTATTCTAACTCATAAAAGAGTCAAATATGCAGATCAAACATTTAGTTCCTTTAGAAGAAGTAGTTCTTCCTTAGGCATAAGTAGTTAAAATATTTCTAGGAAAACAACACAAATATATATATATATATATATATATATATATATATGCACAAACATCTCGCCCCCACTACACTATGCTGACACCATCATCATCATGGTAAATATATTCTTCTCAATAACTTAAATTTTGCCAATAGGGAGAAGTAGCAAAAATAGCAGAAAAATAAAGCCAGCCAAGTGCATTCTGAGTGAAGCACATTTCAGTGGGGTTACAACATGGATTCTTTTGATCAAGTTTTTTTTTTTGAGCTTGGAGATATTTTCCACCAACCAAATACCACAGACCATGAGACTACTTAGGAGACTGAAAGTGAATCATGAGGAATTTAACAAAAAATAGTCCTTACTCTCTTTAAATATGGAATACCTATTAAAGAAAATGCTCCTGTTTTCCTCTATTTTAATGTTTCAGAACATTACCTCACCCTTAAAATTCTGTAAACATATTTTTGCTACCACAGGTCTTTTAGTTAATGAAAATAGTAAGAGAAAACTGTTGAGATTGAAATTAGTCACATTTTAGACAATGACTAGTTTAATATCTGTGACTTACAAGCTTTAAGCAACATTCAAGAGGAGTCTAAAGTACAGATTACAAGGAAAATGCAGTGAAAAATGAGTATTATGGGTTGTCTGCTTTGCCTCTATAATAAAACTACCTAGAATCATAAGAACTCTTCTGTTTGGGAACTAGGTATAATCATCTGGTTGAGTATGTCTAATAGCATCTGACTAAGAAAAACATTAATCTCCTCAGTTTCCTTTTCATAACTTCCCAATCCTCTTTCAACACCACACTGCTGATTCATAAATTGATCTGTCTTCTTCCTAAAGCTGGAGTTCTTTTTTGTTTTCCACAGTACATTATTAGGAATGTAAACATTTTACTGAATTTTCCACACAAATAACCGAGCCCACAACTTCCTAGTCCAAAGCCATCCAAAAAGAACCACAGGAACACTCAGCTAAAAACAGAAACAAAATATACAATTCAGGAAGACAGACTGCACACTGTTATTATTATTAAGAAATAAACAGTAATTAATCTTACCCTATTAAAATATTCTTTTGAGCCACCACTTCAAAGATTTTGTATCCTGAAATGTTTCAATCGGAAACATGTTACTTACTGGCATAAGAAGTGTATAATGGATGCAGAACCCAGGTTCAGAAGGGAAATATTCATCAGACACAAATCTTATTCTGATCTGGTTTCCTTTGGAGATTTGTCTGCTTGGCACAGTACTGGAACCACACCAGCGACCTAAAACGGTGCCATCACTAGGCTCTTCAACTTCTACAAAGTCATACCTGAACAGAAAAGAAAATAAAATGTTTATTTACTGACAAAAATTCTATAAACTTCCTAATTTAACCAATAAACTGACTCTGCAATTTTTTATTTGTTTAAGGGCTAAAATTATGCAGCCAAAGCCAGCTATTTTGAACTTAGCTCCCAAGTTGCTACTGACTTACATACATAATAAAATCATACAGTGAGGTTAAGAAAATAAAAGCAGAGTTAGCATTTTGAAGAGACCCAAGTGTATGGTTTTGCTTCTTGTACAGAGAGCAATTACCACATGTCTGACAGGGCAGAATAAAATCAGAGAAAAAAAAGGCTATAATCGCCTGAGTGGCACAGTAAATTGTGCTGCAGTGTCACCAGCAGCACACTGCATGCCACCAGGGAAAGTTCAGGGGTTTTTTGGTACTGAAAACCTGCTTTCCTGGAAAATCAGAGGTGAATAACTTCCTAAATGTTAAATTAAGGCTTAGAGAAACTTGGAAGGAGTTGATGCATATCCCAAGAAGACATTTGTTGAGCAAAGACCTAGACCCCACTTCATGTGAGAAAGAACCGGGTATTCTGGAAATATTGACAAGAAACATATGGGTAGGCAACATTGAGAGAATAAAACATATTGAGTCTGATTTAGTTTCATTGCTTTTAACATGTGGTCTGGGTATCCCTGGGGATCAGTGAACAACTTCAAGCAGATCCATGCAAGGTAACTCAGACATGCCAGTCAATCATCAATAAGCTTCAGTATGCCATACAAAGGTCCTCGTTTTCACTGGAAACGTTTAGTGGGTTCCCAAGTCATAAAAACATGGAAAGCCACTGCTCTAGAAGGTACATCTGGTTTCAGTGCTTTAACCTGCTTCATGTCAGTTCCCCAGCCGCCCACTGACAGAATAAACACTGAGCATTTCAGCTGCATTTTCCCTGCTCCAGCTTGAATCCCCCAGTGGCAGCACAGCCCGGTGGTTTGGGAAGGTGAGTGTGTGCTGGTAAAACCAGGGCAAGCACTCGGCTGTTTTCAGTTCCAGCTTCCCCAGCCAAGTTTTTACTTTTAAACCATAATTTGTATCCTAAGCATGAGCATAACAAACCTCTGAGAGAGTTTTGAGGTTTCTGATATTTTTATGTCCTCTTGCATGTGCAGTCATATATTAAATACATCTCACATAAATCTAAATTCGTAAATAGGAGAGTCCTTTTCAAGAGTACAAACAGTCCTACCTCTGATGATAGCAAAGGCTCATATTTTAAAAAAATGCACACAAACACACTCTACCAAATATGCCAAACTATATTTAATGTGAAAATTATTACCTCATAAACATTTTCTACTAAAGCTTTTTCTGGATTTTTTTTTCAGTAAATCTAATCTTTATAATGATTCCCAGTTCCCTAGTTAGACAGCAGGCAATAAATTCTTGTGGTGCATGTTTGTGCAAGACTGACTCGCACATTTATTATCTCCATTTAAAGGACCACTATTTTTTCCACTTAATTAAAAATGAATGCAATGAATATGCTCATTAACTGTGTTCAAAATCCATTACTGCCATGTACCACAGTTTTAAATCTTTGTTCAACTTATGATACTAATTACTTTATCATTATCTTTTTTCCCCCAAACACAAACTAATTCCTTTAACAGATCCACCAGTGTTTTTACTTTATGATCAAGTATACAACTTATTACAAAGGCAATGTGTACATTAATTGTACTAAGGCCCCAGGGCTCAACACATTTATCAAATTCATTTGGAGCACTGAGCATTTTTTCTTTTCAAGATCAGCTTTTGAAATTTCTAAAGACAACTTTTTTATTTTTCAGTTAAGAATATGAAATAATTACCTACCTTTCTGATTCTTAAAGAGTGAAATAAGCTAATATTTACATTTATTGACTTAGGTTTAAGATGTTGAGGGGAGTCAGGGGGCTTAGTGCCTCTACCTAACTTGCAGTGTTTTTTATTGCACTCTTTGGTCTTCTGGTACACCTGAAGTAAAAGAGAAACTCAAATTCCACAGTGTAAATCCTAGACCCTTCAAAATAAAGCTAATTAATGCCATTAGTAGAGAGGTAAACTTGAGGGAAATAAATATCCTGAAAAACCAAATAAAATTCAGCTTGGATAATGACATTTTTAGCCAATAACTAATCCTGTCAGTTATCTAGGTTAAATGTGCTACAAGAGCCTGCCAAAAAGCCTTCTGTGAGACTAAAATTCCTCTCATCATACATCTGGACTGATGTCTGAACTTTTTGTAAAAATAACAAAACAAAGCTGTTCAGATGCTTTAGCATTTACATTAATGTGCTACGTAATTTTGCAGCTGATGTCATGGGGCTAAGCATCAGCAGGGACAACAGCACAGCCATGGAAAACTATTTCCCCATCAAGAGAAGCTTGTACTTGAAACACAAGAGATCTAGGATAAATAACCAAGAACTGAGATGCCATTTTACAATTGCAATGGAGTAAGCAAATGTTAAAATGCATGTTGAACTTACCAAAGCAGAAGCCTTCTTTTCTTTGCAGTGTGCAAAGGAGAAAACACAAGCCTCTTTGAAAATGACTAAAGAAATGCTCTGGTGCTGTATCTGTAATATTTTTTTAAATACAACCAAGTAAAATTTATGCCAAAAGGCAGTCTAATCTCCTTTCTGGGGACTACAGATGCTCTGGCCTTTAGGCATGATGCCCATAATGCCTTCTGTTATACCTGTTGCAGAAGATCTAATCCTCTCCCCTAAGGCCTGGGTGCCTGGGAACATGGATTGAATTAACAACTTGAGCAAAGACAATTTACTGGAAAGGAGCAAGGAAGTAACATAAGCAGCTCAAAGCTTCAACAGCTTTCCAACCAGGAAATGTATTTTCCAAGGGAATATGTTTTCCTCTCCTTTCTTTATGTTTTTCTGTGGTTTATACTGTCATTTCCTAAACATATTCTGACAGGCTGTTTATCTTGGCTTGAAGTTTTGTGACCTTTCTATGGCTTCTCTCTGCCTCCAGAATTCCACAAATATATCAAAAAAATATAAGAAGCAAAAATCCACCAGGTAAAACCGTTTGTCATATCAGTGGTGTTGGACCTTTCCATCTGCATACAGATGCATGCTAGACAAAACTCTAGAAAAGCCCTTTAACACAGTTTGTGACAGGTGAAATTTATTCTTCCTTCCCCTTTTGACAAAAACAAGTTTCTTTTTCTTTAGTTAAGAAATAAGAAGTGTTAACAATCCCTAGTGAATTTTTTATGGCATTTTGTGGGGCAATGTAATATTTCTATTCCAACTTGTTTTAAAGCACATAGAATTCTGAGGTTTTCCTGGTGTTCGCATAGCACACCCAAAACATCTGGCAGTTCACCAGACAAACAGTTGTAAAATAGCACTGAAATGGTTTGGGCAGCTTCTATTTTGGAAACACTGGAAATTACTAAAAACTTGTCATCATGCAAATATAACTTTGATATTTTACTAATAAGAATTTTAACACCATCATTCCAAAGAAAACTTCACTTCCCTCTTTCAGCTCTATTTGAAATAATTTCAGTTTCTGCTATGGCAATATTTATATTTCCTATGACACAAAAGTCTTGGTTTCCATCATTTGACATAACTGTTCCTTTGTATAGACAGAAGTGTGAGGTACCGGTGATACCTTAGCTAGTCTTCACTTCTTAGATCACTTTCAAATCACATCTGTAAAAAATAATATTGCTCTTTGTAAAATAAACATATTTGCCTATAGAGGAAACCAAGGCCAAACATTTAGCTCAACAACATTTTTTTCAAAGCTTGGCAGATTCACATTTATCCAAGTGGAAAATGGGACACTGAAGCATGACAGAGGCACTCAAATCCATGGTACCTAATAGCAACTTTGTTATTCCCTGCAGGCCAATATAGAGCAAAGATGTGTGATAGGACAAGAGGAATGCAGAGTTTATGATAAAGGACAGAGGGAAAATAGGAGGACCTCAAGAAGGGAGAAAAGGACAGAGCGGCATGCTGGACTACAGGAAAAAAATTATTCCAGCTAAGGAACAAGTCTACAGACATAGCAATACAGTTGTAAAAAGAAAAGCATACTCCATCATTCATTCAACAGGTGGAGAATTTTCTTTTTTCAATACCAATACTACCCCTCTCACTGAGACAAAATTAATTTTTCCTCAAAGACAAAAGCACAGACCCAAAAGATACATCACATGAGATGAAAATCAAAATGACACAAAATTTAAGTCATCGGTAATCATGAAACTGCAGGTACTTGTGCAGTAATTTTCAGCTTATATAAAATGAAATTTTAACTCAGGTATTATTTTTTTACTTTACAATGTGACCAGGTCAGGCAGCTCAACCACCTATTGCCCAACTTTACAAGCTTCAGAGAAGCTATTTAATTCCATTGCCTTTCAAATGCATTAATTTACACCATACTCTTCTGCATTTGCTGCCAGACAGAAATATCCATATTAATGTCAGACTGGCCTGTTCAGTCCAGTCCCCCATTAAGCACATCAGTATAAGTTACCTATGAATAATGGCACTTGCCAGACAGGCAGCAGAGAAAAGAACTCAGAAAGCAGATTTCCTGGAGGGACAGAAGGGACATTGCACCTTGACTTAAATGGTGGCTCTGTGACAGCACCAGAAAATTCCATACAGGGAAAAAATTCCGTAAAGATTATTCTGCTTAACATCACCAGAAATATTTAACTGGCACTACTTTGAGTGACATTAAAGTCAGGACACTGGAACAAAACATTTTTCAAAAACTAACCATTGCAAAATTTTTATTATTTAAAATATTTCCTCTGGATTTTGTTTTTCCAATACGAATTTCCAAACAAAGTTACCCAGAGTCATTTGACTGCGTTTCCTGAGGCTCACAACATGGGTGATTTACCCCTAAGACTCACCCTCGTTAGGAGGACTTGGCAGTGTCTTCTTCTGCAAGAGGAAACTCCTTTGGATATCATTACAGATCATCCAACAATT